TTTTAGAGCATAAGGCACTTCAACTCAATCCTCCGTTCAAAACCCTGTCACTCAGAAAAATCTAAACTCCTAAGTCAGCTTAGAAGTCTATACTCCTCTATTCTCTGCACCCCACACATAAGCACACATACCCCTTATTTCCTGTGGCTCTCCTCTCTCATTCCATCATGTTCTTCAGACATTCCAGGCATGTTCTTGCCTTAGGGCTATTGGATTTGCTGTTTCCTTGCTTGGATTATTCTTTTTCCAGAAAACTTGTTCTTCCTTTCTTTAGGGCTCTGCTTAAATATCTGCTTAGTGAACCCTTTTCCTGCCTGCTATATTTAAAAGGACATCATAGGGGCGCCTGGGTGGCTCAGTCGGTTAAGCGTCCGACTTCAGCTCAGGTCACGATCTCGCGGTCCGTGAGTTCAAGCCCCGCGTTGGGCTCTGGGCTGATGGCTCAGAGCCTGGAGCCTGCTTCCTATTCTGTGTCTCCCTCACTCTCTGCCCCTCCCCCGTTCATGCTCTGTCTCTCTCTGTCTCAAAAATAAATAAACGTTAAAAAAAAAAAATTAAAAAAAAAATAAATAAAAGGACATCATATTTTCTGTTTTATTGTTGGTTCTTTCATATACGCTAAAGTAAAAGTCCCAAAAGACACAGCTTTGTCTGTGGTGTTCACTGCTGTATATCCTTAGCATCTGAAACTGCTTGACTTGTGTAGTTGGTACTGAATAAGTATTACATAATTATTATATATAACATTTATATTTTCCTGAAAATATTTTAGATGTAATTGTTAACATATTACATGTAAGTTATATAACATACAATAATAAAATATTAATGAGTATTTATTTCTAAAGTGCATCAGATCACAACTCATCGGATCATGTCCTACCATCAAAGCCATGGAACTGCCAGTGAAATTGGGCCTAAAAGTCCCAAATTATGGAAATCAACTAACAGCAGTTGGCTGGAGTTTGAGAAAAATTTTGAGGTGTTGAAAATAGTTTAAAGACCATCACTCACAGCTATTCGGGTTGGGAATAACTGGCTAGCCAAGGTTTTTTGTTTTTTGTTTTTTTTTTAGTATGGTTGACACATGGTGTTATATTAATTTCAGGTGTGTACAGCATAGTGATTCAATAGCTCTGTAGGTAGCTCACCAGGGTAGCTGCCATCTGTCACCATGCAGTGCTGTCACAGTACATTGACTATACTCCTGTGCCTTTTGTCCCTGTTACTTATTCCATAACTGGAAACCTGTATCTCCCACTCCGCTTCAGGTATTTTGCCCATCCCCCAGCTACCTCGCCTCTGGCAACCATCAGTTTTTTCTCTATATTTACAGGCCTGATTCTGCTTTTTGTTTGTTTATTCATTTGTTTTGTTTAGATTGTACATATAAGTGACATGATGTGGTATTTG